TTGAACTAGCATCTCTAACTGAAAATAACCATTGGAGGCTTTTGTGATCTGTTACAATAGTAAACTTACGTCCGAAAATATAAGGTCTGAAATATTTTACTGCATATACGATACTTAGAAGTTCTTTTTCTGTCGTGCTATACTTTGTTTCTGAATCACTTAACGTTCGTGAGGCGTACGCTATTGGTAAATCTGAGCCTAAGTTACCTTGGGATAATATTGCGCCGATTGCATAATTACTTGCATCCGTAGTTATCAAGAATGGTTTGGAAAAATCCGGATATTGGAGTATCGGATCGTTTGTCAATAAAGTCTTGCATAATTCGAAACATTTAATATAATCTGCGTCATTGGGATTAATAATTGCATCTTTTTTCAATCTGATTGTCAATGGCTTAGTGATTTTCGCAAAATCTTTTATAAACTTACGGTAATAACCTAAAAGTCCAAGGAAGCCTTTAATTTGCTTCTTAGTTTTTGGTATTTTAAATTCTGTGATTGCCTTTATCTTATCGGGGTTTGGTTTCACACCATCCGCCGTTACAACATGACCTAAATACGATACTTCTTTTCTAAGAAATTCCGATTTGTCTAACTGTATTTTAAAATTTGACTGACGTAACCTTTCAAAAACTTCTCTAAGTCGAGAAATATGTTCCTGTAAACTAGTACTGAATATTATAATGTCATCTAAATATACTAAGCATTTTTCATTTTGAATACCTCTCAGTATGTTATCCATTACTCGCTGGAAAGTCGCTGGCGCGTTTTTTAGTCCAAATGGCATTCTTGTGAACTCGTAGTGTCCATTTTCTGTATTAAATGCAGTTTTTTGAATATCATCTTCTGCCATTTCTATTTGGTGAAAACCTGAAGCTAAGTCTAATGTTGAAAAATATTGGCATCGCCCTAATTTATCTAACAAATCTGTTATGTTTGGAAGAGGATAACGATCTCCCAATGTTTTTTCATTCAATTTTCTATAATCAATGACTATTCTCCATTTTTGCTTTCCCGATGCGTCTAATTTTTTTGGAACAATCCATATAGGTGAGCACCACGCTGAATGGCTCTCTCTAATAATTTTTTGATCAAGCATTGATTGTATTTGTCTTTGTACCTCTTTTCGGTGGATTTCAGGATATCTGTATGATTTCGTGTAAATGGGTATTTCATCGCTTGTACGTATATGATGCTTAATTTTGCTCGTAAAAGTTAAGTAATTACCATCTATGTGAAATATGTCTGAATACTCTCTTACTAACTTGGTGATTGCGTCTTTTTCTTCAGAGTTCATATGCTCTGTCCTAATTTTGGAAATATCAAATTTATATTTTTGAAAGTTCAAAGAATTAATATTCGGTGGATCAGAATTTTCTGAAACTTCGTAATTTTCAAAATTTTCTACATCTATTGGTCGAGATATGTCAAGAGAAATCTGTTCTTCAGATAAATTTAATACTGTGCAAATCGCTTCGTGATTTTTCACTGTAGTAAGACATTCAGGGATTTCTAAACATGATAATTTTCTGTATGGAATAATAGCATTACCATTTTTTAAATTTTTTATGTTAACCTTAATTATCTGTTCTGTTCTAGGTGGAACAGTGATAACATTAAAAGAATTTTTTGTAATCTCGTGATATTGCATGGGTATCCTTGTTGTGGGTGTGACTAAAAGATCATTGCTCAAATCAATGTTGGCATTCAATATCTCTTTCAGGTTATCGAGTCCTAAAAGGCATTGGAAATGTTCGTGAAACTTGAATAAATGAAATTTCATGAGAATATTTGGATTCTTAAAAATCTTTGGACAAGGTATTGTCATACTATATTGTTCGATAGATGAACCATGTGCTGAAGTGATTTGAAATGGGTCTTTTTGAATATGTCTTGAAAATAATTTTTTCGCAATTTCAGGGTGTATGAAAGATCTTGTACTTCCAGTGTCAATCAATACTTTGAGATTATACTCCGGAAATACAATGTATGGTAGTTTGCTACATTTGTCGGTTAAACTCATAATTTCAATTGACTTGGGTGGTCCGTTGAGATTTGTGGTTGTCTCTGTTCCGAGGCTTCTTGCCCTAAAAAATTGTCAGAATTATTCTGAGAATAAGCGCATTCATAATTGTCATCATTTGGAAATTCTACAACAGGTTGGTCTTGTGCACATAAGTTAAACATAGCCTGTTCTGCGTTTACACCAGGTCTGTTAAAATTTCTACCTTGAAAATTTGGTTGCTGATACGTCTGTCTAGTGGATGTACTCATCGGAGTAGGCCTTGGCAGATTATTGATCTGATTAGGTCTAAAAACGTTATTATTGTGAAAATTCGTTCTATTCTGATTAGGATTATTTGGTCGTACATTATTAGGACTAAATTGTCTTTGTAATACTGGACGCTGTACCGCTTGGTATTGATTCCTATAATTACCAAAGTTGTTGTTCATATGGTAGTTCGCCATATGCATATTATTTCGATTAACATTTTTATGTTTATCTACCTTATGATCAAGCTGAAAGTCGTTAGTTAATATATTCAGAGCTTCATTCAAGTCTGTAGGATTTTTCGTCCTCATGAGCGATCCTAGAGGTTCCTTTAAACCTTTTAGAAATACTCTTAATGCTACGCTTTTGCAAAAATTACATATTATCTGAGCTTCTTCACTCACACAATGTGTAGTTAAAAATGATATTTGTAAATTCAATAAACTCTGAACTTTGTTATAAAATTCAAAGGGGGTTTCATTGTTCTGTTTCAATTCACACAATTCTATATTTAGAGTAAATACGTCACGCTTGTCTTGATATGTATTTAAAAGTGCAGTTTTCAAGTCCGTCCAATTTTTTATAATATTGCTACTAATATTTAAAGCTGCATTACCTTTGATTTTCGCTAAAATACTACTCATAAGATATTCGTTCTGGAAGTCATTTTCATCCTCTAGTCTATAAAATTTATTCACTAACTTTTCGCAAATATCTATGAATCTTGGTAATAATTCTTGTTGACCATAAAATTCGGGTATCATGTTAAGATACTCTGGGCGTAATGACATGCTTGATTGATTTACTTGACTGTTGTTCATATTGACTGTACTATTTAGTATACTAGGTCTTAATTGCAATTTCCTTAAACTATGTTGGATATGTTCCGTATCCGACTGTGAGTCCGAATCAGTATCACTCAATGTATCATCAAACAGCTTTTGATTGTTTTCACCCCTGTAAGACATTCGTACTTACAGTAGTAATCCAATCCGTCCCATGTGTCCGTATGCCTGGGCTGCTGGGTTGCCTGTCCTGGAGCAGATGTTCCTTCTGTCCTCTGGGCTGCTGTCGTCTTGGTTTCTCGATTTGGGTAGGGTTCTACCCCAAATCTGGTTCCGGTGATCACGGTAACGATATCGATATTCCGTCGGATCGTTCGCGACCAATCGCGGTTGGTTTCGTTATAGCCAGTAAACCGTTGAAACGAACCGAAAAATGTCCCTTTTTTCGTCTGGCTATCCTACTGGATTGACTGCGCCACTCAAATATCTTTCTTCAACGAAGACGTTTTTAAAAAGATTTATTTTTGAGAAAGACCAAATACAATGATGTTAATTGAATGAGTTCTGAATCGAGACTGACTGCAAAGTTCATTATACAAACCAAAGTAAAGAACAAATGAAATACAATACTGTAACTGATAAGAAAGGAACGTGGAGGCAAAAGTCCTTGTTCAGCATATTCTTCTCTGTAGACTGGTACATAACTTGCATAATCTGATTCAAGGACCTCTTAAAGAATCTGCATGTGACTAGGCCCAAAATTGCTCCAAAAATTGTTATTAAACATATTCCAAAAATTGATTTGTTCGCTTTGTTTAAAGTATTTTGCGGTTTTCAGAACATTCTGAATAAAAAATGAGCTATAGAACTTTTCTCTAGACTTGATATATATAAGCAATGTAAAAACTCAAAATATGTCATTTGCTACCCTAAAAACAATATGAAAAATGAATACTTTGATGTTGCCAAATCTCACACATGCTTCAACCAACCAATAACAAAACCCCCAGAGCATTTTAGGAAGTACAGTTATTGTAAATATTTGCATAGTAATTATGAATTGAATGCGCGCTCAATGTATAGTCTATGTCTATGTGAACGAGAGAGAGAGTGATGAAAGATCCCTAGTGCACGCTGAATATACATTGAGCGTCCGCTTGCATATCAATTAAATACAAAGATTTATAATAACAGTATCTCCTAAAAGGTATCGGAATTGTGTTAATGGTTATTTATGAAGCATGGCGACATTAACATTTTCGTATTTTCAGATCGTTTTTCGGTATCGCAAAAGCAATTTTTTGTACTTTCCAATCTCGTACAAAATCAACAAACATTGTCAAACATCGATTTGTTTCTGAGTACCAAAAAAAAAAAAACGAATACTACCTTTGATGAAGCGAAAACATTAATTTTTTGAATTTATTTGAAAAAGTTGTACAAACAATTAGAGACGCAATTTGGAGCCTGACAACATGTAGATTTGTTACTAGGAGGCTTTTTCGAATAACATGCAAAAAGTCCGAATCCGAATATTTTCCTGAGCAGATGTGAAGATATTTCTTGGACTATAACGACGGCAGCGCTACCTTTCTTGGCTGGAAATCTGGTGGGACTAAAAATATTGAAAGTATGCTGACAACGCATATCAGGAATGTCAGGAATGTGCCGGCGATTTAATTTGTTTACATTACGAAATCTGAGTGATGACCTTCCCGATATTGGGGCAGTTCGATGATCATAGATGCATAACACATCCTCAATAAAGGAAGTATTTCTTCCATCAGTTTGGCTAGTAATGAATTTCAGGATAATAAAAAAATTATAATTAAAAAAATATTTACTGAACAGTCCCAGCAATAATAGAATAAATTCTTCATTACAATAAATTGTACATACATAGAAGTATTCTACCCATCTGGATTTTTCTCTATATTATGAACCTGATCAGTGCAATATCATGCAAGCACTATTTCTTGTTAATTGACCATGTATATTTATTGCGAAAACATAAATACTAAAATAACAAGAAATACATCTGTAGTAGAGGACTGACTGGCATACAAATATAATCACTGATATGTGAATCAAAAATAGTTTTACACAAACTGTTAATGGGTGAAGGCAAACAAAATTGTCCTCAATAAAGAAACACATAAAACACCAATTGGGGGGAAACAAACACCTTATGACATTGACAATTAATTGGGTATCCATAAAATAAATGACGATCTTCATTCCGAATGTCTCCTCGAAGGATGTTGATACTGTGAAACAAAAAAAATTATTAGCATAATATCACTGTCATATTTGGTTAGCAAACACTTAACAGAAACATAGTCTCACCACGCCCCTTCAGATGATACTGCTCTGTACATATGTATAAACTCCCAATCTAGCAGTATACATTTGATTGCCAAAATTCTGTGTGTAAGCAAATTTTCATTGGTGATACCAAACACCAGTCCTTAATTTGGCTCTTTACCAGTGTTGTTATTACCAACAGTACAGATGTCACAAAAAGAAGTTATGTGCTACTCATCTGTTTACCTCAATAAACATCAAAAGAGATTACATATTTGGTGGGCCAAAGCAAGCGCAAATAATTTTTCATACAACTATCACCAAACCAGCTGCCCATACAGCGATATAAAATCGATCAAGCATCACGATACAAATATCGACTATCGACGTTTGTACAGTATCTAATTCCAGCTGTAGCGATCAGCTGACCAACGCTACTGATTCGATTGATTGAATTAAGAAAATGACCATAACCTCAATATATTTAGTCATTTATGCAAAAATGAACTGATTTGAATACTTACTGCAACGTCATCATTAGGCGCTCCTCTGGCGATGTCCGATTGCGTTCAGGAGCCTTCTGCAGGTACCTCTTCACCAAGGTCAAGAGTTGATACCAGCGCGGCTTCTCGTTTTTTTTTTGTTCTAGGCATGGCCATCCTCAATTAATCGCACAAAAAACAAGTCCAACGCAGAAAAACATACCCGAAAACGAACACCAAAACAAATCTCTACAGCAAATTTGCCAACAACTCAAACAAAAACAACAGATGATTCACCGCCTGGCCTTGTCCGTAAATCGTCGTGGAACACGATACACCACAGAATTATTATAATTACCTCAATACCAGCATAGAACAGTATGGAAAGGGCTATCCAAGGGTAAGACGAGTTCCGAAACCACCCGAATCATGTCAGAAAATGGGTGCGACGTCACCAAAATGTTTGACCACCACTGGAAATCACTAGCTAGTTACCCTTTGGCGGCGTAACATGTGGAGGACACTGGTGTAGAAACAGCTGATCCTTGAATTCGGTTACGTTAAGTCGTGCATGAAGCCGACATTACTTTTTCGAATGTTAGCCGTCACTGTGGGTAATGTGGTCTATTTTGGAACCACAATGCGCAATGACGCGTTTATGTACTCGGAATGTAATTTTGGCAATAATACTGACTTCTAATTCCCCTTGGTCCGAAATGGGAAATTATCCGACGAATTACTATTGGGCATGTTTACACCGTAGGCATCGGTAGCCAAGTACTTATACGTCGCATAACCACGCATACGGTGCAAATGGGCACAAAATAGCATTCACGGTCACCAAATTAAATGTTGGAATTACACGATGGTCCACACTGACTACAGTAACAGCTGAAATTTCAATGAAATAATGTTCAAGGTAAGAATACCTCTTTACTTTGATGATTTATTCGAGTAATTTGAATATCATTAAAATCGGTATAATTTCAATTTGTGTGCTAAGTAGTCGCTAGCCCATTACACGCTTACTTGCTGTGAGTGCCACCATGCTGCAACTCATATTGGGCCAATATGCTTAATGAAATTATCATCAACACAGATTCCAGTACACTAATCATTGCTGCGCACTACATGTTTCCTTCCAGAGATAGTATAAAACTTACAGTTAGGCCCATAGGAGCTATAAATGACCTCCAATAGTGCCATATCTGAAGCAGATGTTACACCACATCAGAGACAAATCATATAGTTTAATTGCATGACGTTTAGGCAACAGACACAGCTACTCATACTACAAGTGAACATGAAGTGAATAGCAGCTAGGTCCAAGGGGATTTTTTTTTGGGAAAACCGACATGTCATTTAAGATTGATATAATGTCACACTTTAAGTAATAATGATGCCGATCTTAGTTGTTAGTGCTATTTACGCAACTTTCACTAATATGAGAAGTCAAAACATTGCCGATATGCCTCAACTCATGAAAATAATCGGAAGTTATCAATATTATAATAATAAGTTTGGCAACATAAAAACGTAAAGAATTTGAAAAGCGGCCATCAGAGTACTAGAAAGCGGGATGTTGTTCTCCATGCCGGGACAAAAACGCTTTCTTAAGAGATACTGCATTGTTATTTGCTACCAAATCAAAAAGTGCTTACTACCACGATTCCATTCTTCCAAGAAAATGGCTATGTGAGAAGCTGATACCAGGTTTAAAAGAGCCATCTTTAGTAATCATGGATAATGCCTCTTATTATAGTGCCCTAATAGAAAAAATGCCCAATTACAGTTAGAGTAGAATGCAATTTAAGCAATGGCTGCAAGACAAAATGAACAAAAGAAACTCGAGCTTTTTATGTGTGCCGCCTTAATAAACCATCGGCTCCAAGATATATCATAGAAGAAATATTACATGAGCATGGACATCAAGTTTTGCGGCTCCCCCCTTCCCATTGTCAATACAACGCTTTCGAGTTATTCTTGGGAATAGCCAAACAGTACTATCGTCGTCATATCGGGGAAAATGGCTATGGTGACAAGGAAGTGTTGAAAGTTTAGGACACGATACTCTAGCGAAGGTAACTGCTACAGTTTGGGCCAAGTGTGTGAAACATACCGAGGACTTGATTAAAAACAACTCGGACAAGCATTAAGTGTTTAATAGGAAGGAGACTAACATAACCATTCACTTGGAAGAAAGTTCAGATGAAGAAATCCAATAATTCATACTTTTATTGAAACAACCTTAAAAACTTACACTTCTTAATTTTCTACATGTGCACCTTAATGTAGCTTGTTAAATATTTTCATAGATATGGAAGTTACAAGCTTGGTGTTTATTAAGGCGATATAGATTTTAAGGCTCGAGTTTATGAGCATCATCATCGAAATGTATTTTTTTGTCTAGCAGTAAATTATTTAGTCGCATTTTACTCCAGAAAGAATTGAGAATTTTTATTATTGAAGATCGTTCTTCTAAAGCTCGCATAAGCTTGTCACATATCCAAATCCAATGTTAAATGTTCCATCAAGTTGGCAGATAGATGTATTAGTATGTATTATATTGTAGATTCCGTATGTATTTTTTATTTCAACTTTAAGAAAATATCAAATGACATATCATACTTTATCCATGTTTATGTACTAGATTAGAAGATTTTTGAGAATTGCGATTAGTAAATAATTTTGAAACGATTTCCATCGGTTAGGAAAATTTAGATCCGCCCATGGTACGAAGATTCGATCTGTTTACTTATTTCATATGGCACTGATGACGTAAACGCTAAGAACGGTGACTACAACTATATCAAACTGATCAAGCTATCCGGTGGCTACTGCTATTCAGCATAAGAGCGTTACACCACTGGACCACTATATACTGCCTGAACGGGCACATTAAATTTATTATCAAGAAGCTCATGACTTACTTTTACTAGATCTGCAGACAAAAATGGACCAACACATTCAATTAATTGGATGTGAGAACTATTGTATAACGCTTGAGTTTATGCGCTATCCTAAGCGATGGGATTGATGTCCCTTGTATACAGAAGAAACTGCTTTTCAACTCAATGAAAAAAGTCTTGTTCCCCTCTAGTGAAGTTTTCAGTAATAAATCTGTCTCCCATGTGACATCACAGCGATTAAAGTAGTTACTTCTTTGTTAAGAAGAAAAGTTCCAGAGCCGTCACATCTTGACAGTTTCCCTAGAAAGAAAAATTATGTTTTAATATAGTAAAAAGAGCGCTATTCACATCTTTTCGATGTTCCTCCCTCTTTGTGCAGTATGCCGGCTTCTAAAAGTTCGGCTTTGTTGAGTCGCGCCCCACTTTTGTTCGTACTTGTGTAATCACTTCGGCTATAAAGTTGTGCTTTTCATCACTGGATAGTAGCCGGTTTAGCAGTGGTAATTATTTCTCAAAGGCAAACAGTGATGTCAAAGCGTTCGTGAAGTGCTCACTATAAGCCTTTCCATGTTGCTTACAGGTTTTCTGGAGCATTTTGGAATAGTGTACATATATCGAGAATTTTAAACCTTTAAATCCGCCACATGAAAAAATGAAATTCCGGAATAGTCTAGAGATAAACGAAAGGGTGTAATTTGTTTAAAATTATGTTGATCTTTTTCCTGAAGCTATTCAAGATGGAACGTCGAAATAAATTCTATACAAACATTTTGTTAATCCACGTTTTGTTGGGAGCTTGACGATAGAAGTTTCACCGCCACGAATATGTTCTTGAGTTCGGTGGGCATGTGAGTAGAAGGATTTTGTCATTGTTACTACAACTTCTCAACAGTTGGCTTTACAAATAGCATATACATTTCATTGTGCACCCACCTCATATCAGAATGAGCAGTTTGATCTACCATACCTAATATTTTATGCATATTCTCATTGTGTTTCATGGTTTTGTATTTTTCATTTCGGCGTACTGCCATAGTGTTTCATAAGTCCATTATGAATTATTGGAATGGAAGAATGGTGTCATAAAAAAGAATTAATTGATGGACACAAAAAGTATAAATGTAAAAGCGGAGTTCTGAAAATGTGAAGCCTCTTCATAATAAATATTGAATTTATATGTTCCATTGAGTCGTTTTTAGGATCACAAAACCGTAAAAACGTGTTTTCGAATCCGTAGCGCTGAAATTAAATTGATGTATACCGGAGGAAGCGTAGCGTGGCTAGTTGCACAAAAGCTTGGACAAACCTAGACTAGAATTTTCACACAGCAAATAAATCATAAGCTCACACACCCTCCGAGTAACTATTCTGTTTAAAATTTGGAAATTCTTTATAGCTGACGACAGGAAGTATGGTTTTTAGCGATTTACGGGGGACCCGCTTCCGTCACGCAACTACGTAAGAAACTCATCTAGTCTTATGATGAGGTGCATGTCGTTGATCTTATTGTACCCATTGCTCTACCCCTGGCATGGCCGAGATTTACATAGGGGCCTCATTTGAATACGTATATTAATACCTGGTATGTACAAAGCGACCGATTCATTGAAAAAAGTGATTTCATATTAGAAAATGTTTCCGAGTTTAAAATGCCGCCATGTTCCCACAAAAAAATTATTCCAAAAAACCTACTATCAACCCTCTACTGATGAAAACGTATCTGTATGCAAGTACCTATAACACAGGGTAGCCCAAATTTTTTGAGCAGTTATTAAAACAAAACAATTTTTAAATGTTCTATACAAATAGGAATTATTTGCGACGATATGACGAAGCAAGTGCTAGCCATTTTCTGCTTTACATACTCTTTACATATCCGTTTCAATAACTTTCTGCATGCTTTCAAGCATTATGGATGCAATTTCACTGTAATTATTGTCATCCAAGTAGGTTACGTTCCCTGCTTATCCATAATTAGTAATTCAGATATCTTGAGTTAGGTACGCATATGAGCACGAACGCGAGTGAGGCAAACCCGAGGACGAATCATTTGTCCCGGATACGGGTTCCTGAATAGTGGACGCACAAGGCGCTGTACGGCATCGACCCATGGGATGTGGCATTCTTGTATTTCAGTACCTTTTGGAATATGGCCAATTCAGATTCTGATGGTGAACGCGCTGCGAATTTTAATCAGTGCATAACAAAAGGAAAATAAGATAAAACAAAAACGATGGTTGTCACAATTATATCTTAACAGAAGAAGACAATTGGATGAAAACAGATGTGTTAAAAGATCTCTTGGCCATAAAACTATCGTTTTTTCAAAAATTTTACCAGGATGTCTCAGGAGGATTTCTATTTGCTATTGAATTTTATCAAACCAAGACTAGCATTAACTCTTCGGTTTCTTGCTACAGGAGAAATAGATCAAAACAAACAGAAGTCATCATGAAATTGTTGATTTTTACTAACAAACCTTTTCCTGAGCCAGTTCCCTTTTCCATTCGGCTTTTCTCTCGGTGGAAGGAGCCTCTCAGACCATCCATTTCCTTTTTAATTTCTTGAACTTCCATATGTACAATCTCTGCTAGTTCCTGCCAAGCGGCATCTTTTTTAACTGTACTGTAAAACAACGGGTGTCATGGTTTCCCTAATATCTCTCCCTATTCATATTCTTCAATGATCCGTAGCACTAAATTCTGAGACCATTTTATTATTATGAAAAAGAACCATTAAAAAATAGTCTTTGATAACAATCATCTTTTTCCGTGCACTACTAGTTACTACAGAGTCTCACTTTGAGATTCCGCGAAGGAACCGATCGGGCTCGACCCGAATGCATACGGCGTGCTTAATAGCGATGAATGGAAAGTCTCTCCGCCAAATAACTTGATACTCAGAAATGTCGTTAACAGAGCCACTAACCACTCGCTTGAAGTGTGTGCTGGAATTTAGTCTTGAAGTTTAAGCCACAGGTTTGGATGGTTTCTCACAGTTCTCATTAAATAAATTGCAGCATTGTTTTATTGTGGGCAGTAATGGAACTTATACTTTCTTGTGAACGTCAGACGTTCAATAGTTCCATCCGTTAGCGCTATTACATCGCCTTCCAGCATTACGAAGCTTAGTTCTGGTACTTGGCTTGTACTTTATACTGACAGTTGCCAAACCTTCAGTTGTAAGTAGCAACAATATGCACGATGAGGTAAAACCACAGATATTGGACTGTAAATTTGAACACATCTTTATTCGTTGCTACAAGGTGTACCGCTTCATATTAAAATCATAAAGCTTTCTCTACTAGGCCCAGCATTTCTAAAATCGGTTGCTCTTAAAGAATTCGAACCATATCGTTCACTTTGCGCGACCCTGTAGAAAAAGAGGTGTACATTTCGCTCTGTGAAGTGACCGCCACTGCAATTAGCGAGTCATATAAGCATTTGAGCGCTAGCATCGTAGCATCATAGACCGTCTGATGAGACCGGTGGCACTTCCCCTTCACTGGTTCCTCCTGGACTACACTTGCTGACACGCCACATTGTCTCCGATTCATTGTACTGAGCACCGGACACTGATCTACATCGGCGTATGTCTACGTATTACAAATGATAGAGAGGTGGGAAATGGACATCTGTATAGATATCTGATAATATGTTACACAGACTAGATAAACTCATGCAAATTAGAGGATAGGAACCAAATTTGAGACAAGCGCCTTTTTCGAGACAGTGATGTACCGTAAAACGCTACTTGATAAAACTTTTCAGAAATTTCGTTCTGCCAACAATAAAGGTATTTTTAAAAGTAAAAATTACTGTGTCGGTCGAAATGGTCTATAGCTGATTTTTCCTTATTAAAAAACTGTTTAGGTCTCACAATTTTTGCAAAAATTACAAAGTGGTAATTTTTAAGTAGCCCCTCGATGGGACTATTTGAAAGTTTGCCTTTAAAAACGTAGTATTGCAAATAAACCCTTTTTAAGGGCTTCTTGAAAGTAGCAATTCCAAAAAAGAAACCTATTGTGTTATAGTTTCAAAAAAATCGAAAAAAAAACGGTTTTTACAAAATAAAATATGTTACAAGTAGGTAAGGTCCTTTATTATTAATAACAAAACATAAAAACACACACACACATATATATATACATATATAGGAAGGATTACATCACACAAAAGTGATGGTAGGCTTCATCCTGAAAGATGCGCTCTAGCAGGGCATTCTATGAATTATACAAGTATCAAAGTTCTTGATAAAGAAAAACACCTTTCCAAACGTTTATTCCTGGAAATGTCCCACATTTTCATGAATAACAACTGTATCAACAAAAAGACAGATGTTAAACAACTGAGTGTCATTTACTCATACTTGCTAAACTGCGAAAAATTGGAGAACTTACATATCTCCCCAAATTTCGACTCTTCACAACCATAAATAGAATCTTTGTTTTGGCCGATTCCACCAGTAAATTTCATTCCACTCAAAATCTAATAATTCTCTTCTCACGATTTATTAATAATTGTTAATTTAAATTCCCATTAATTAAAATATAGTTTATTCAACTGCCTCTGGTCGGTTTAACAATTTCTTACATAACATTCTGAAAATCACATCATCTGAAGTGATTTGGCAACGTTTAGCACACGCCCACAATTCGTTCCATCTTCCAACACAGACATTGACAACCTTCGGCCTTCTGTCAAAGGGTTCATCTCACTCATTATTCCATGACCACCATTTTGTGCAATCATCAAGTGGCTTCACGATGTAATGCTCTAATGTTTTTTAAATAATTTTTAATCTGTTTTTAACTTGTTCTTGTCATATTTTATATAATTTTGACCATTGTACCATCTATTCAGCTCTCACCATGTTACTGGACGTTTCCCTCATCCTATACGTAAACAACAATTAGCAACATCCTCACATACTACTGTAAGTTGAGTCAATTTAAATTCATTTTACACTTTTGTTGCTACTGTTATCATTGTAATTGCAGCTCCTGATGATGATGGCAAAGTCCATTGAAAGCTAGAGAGAATTAAAAAAGTATAGAGTCCTCTTTGCTTAAATTTTGTCGAAGTACCCAACAAAAGGCGGAAGCTTTAATTTTTCACCTAACTGGTCTAGACGACAATGACCACGTCTCAAGTTATATATATATATTTAAAATTCATTTTATAATTCTTACATAAACTTGAGAACCTTATTTGACCTCTTTTTTACAAAAAAGTTGTTTGAAAGGCACCATTTACAATTTCTTAAATCCAATTTGTCCTCTTCTAAGCGTTTCCATAACGGTTAATTTCCGTTTTATTTTGAGTTTTTCCACCAAGCTGATATCTTCAATAGCTGGATATATATAACTATATTTTACTTTTTCACTTTTTCTTAAAGACGTGTATAAGTATCCGTCTTCCTGGGAAGAAAAACTTTTCGCAACGAAATCTTTATTGCTTCCATTTTATGTTTTCAGATTGACGGAGATGTAATCATCACACATGAATTCTTCATTTTAAGAGGGTTCACCATCGGACATTTCATTTGCTTCATTGCTTTCAACTTCATTTTACATTCGGTTTTCTGGAGTGTTTTCGTCTTCAAAGGTTTTATTATAAAGGATATCGTTTTCTAGATCCGAAAATGTTTCCGGGTCGTCATCACTATCATCACGCCCAGTGTAAGATTTCTGCAAATGGAGTGATAGTACTAGATCTTTGTCGTTGCTATCGGAACTTGAGAGAGTTGTGTGAGCTTTCTTCCTCTTTGTCTTCTCTTTTAGTTTCAATTTTAGCTTTTTATTTGGTTTATCGATTTTTTAGCAGCTGTAGTGGTAGCACGACATTCAATATCTTTTTGGCAAATGCTTTTCTTCAGTTCAACGTCTAATTTCTTTCTTCTTCCTGTACTGGAAGGACTTGCCTTTCCAAATCTCGCCTCTTGAAACACCTGTTTTAAAGATTCTCCTGAAATATTTTCTGCTTCTGCTGTTTATTTTGGATCATCTTCTTTGGGAAGATTAATTAGGATTTTTTGTCGACTGATTGGTATATTACCAGTCGTCTCAAAGCCAGATCTAATATTCTGCTCAGTACTAGCACCAATACTATTTAAGCATTGCTTAACAGCCTACGAAATACATCCTTCCTTATAGTGCCCTTATTTTTAGCCTTACAATCTCTCAGGACTTGCCACCACTCGACTTTAATGGGTCTAAACACGCTTCTCTTCGCATTTCCGTATCACTTCTAAGGAAATATGACTTTCCAAATTGTCGCGTATTAAGACTTTGCGGCCAGTTGGTAAGGTTTTGAACTAGATAAGGGCAATATTTAAAAACCAGTCTTCAAAGATATTGCCATCAAACCCACTAGTCGGGCTTCTATTATATCTGGTATTTGCAGGCCCACCTTATGTCCAGGTACTCCACAGATGATGTGCTTCATAAACTACGTATGGCGGTAGCATAACACCCGAGGCAGAGCACGCAAACATCACTGAAATACACGTGTGTCCATAATTTTTTCAGCGCTTTTTGATTGTTTTTGTGACAATAACTTTGAAGCGGCCGGGATCGTCCGAGAAGTTTGTCTCGTCGTAGTTGACTACAGCTTCGGGAGCCATGTTTTCTAGGACTCTTAACAAATTGTCAAAATATGTATTAATGGTTTTATGGTCGACTTTCGCTCTACTTTGTTTAATCGTCTGCGACATTCTCTTCGACAGCTGTTCTTTGTGCCGTTTTAGTAACTTCTCCATCCCGTCTACACCAGGTCCATTATTTTTGAAGGCTTTTACAAGCCCGCCTGTTCTATTTAAATAGTTTTCAACCAAACTTTGTATGTCGGAAGACTCAAAAGTGAAACCCCATTCTGAAGCCCTACAAATTGCTTTAACAAGGGCTTTTTCATCAGCATATAGTATATTGAATTGTTCGCTGAGTTGCATTAAATTTCCTATTTCATAACTTTGCATGGCATTATTCAAGTGCTTTTGACTATAATTCCGATAGGATCTACTCCCAATTTTTCTTTTGTAAGTCCTCATCATTTTCAAATAGCCCCTAAAATGATATTAAAATATAAAGTCGCAAAAAAAAAGTAATGCTAGATTAAATCAGGTTTGAAACAGAAGTAATCAACCAATAGGAAGATATAGCTATTAGATTTAACAAATACTTTGTGTATAGCATTGAGAGTATAATAGGGGATATACCATGTCCAAAAAACGTTATGCCCATTTATACTGGACCCACAGTGCATAGGAGAATATTTAAAATTTTTGAAAAATTAGCAATGGCAAAAATGAAGGAAATAATTGGAAACCTTAGGAATTTGGGTGGGGGTGAAGGTGGTATTTCAAAACAAGTCCTTTGTGACGTAGTGTGTGAAGTTGGTAATCGTCTTTTAGATTGTACTCACACGTCACTTAGCAATGGTGTTTTTTCAGAACCTTGGAAATTAACAACTGTCATTCCTGTTCCTAAGGTGAATAACAAAAAATTATATAATGAATTTCGTCCAATAAATACATTGCCCACATATGAGAATGTTTTAGAAGTTGCAGTTAAAGAACAGTTGCTACGTTTCCGTGATACTAATAGAATTATTGTTCCTAACCAATCGGATTTAGAAACTTATTCTTGCGAGTCTATTGTTGTTGGTATTTGTAATGTGTGTCTTAGGGCCATCGACTGTGATAACTATGTATTAGCCGTTTTTCTAGATTTTAGGAGAGCTTTTGAAACAGTAGATAGGGATATTTTATTAAGTAAATTAGAGCATATATGAATCAAGCGTACTGTTTTAAAATAGTTTAAATCATATTTGGATAATAGAGTCCAACGTGTATCTTATAAGAACTTTCTGTACGAGCCTGTTACTGTTAAATGTGGTCTATCGCAAGGAACGGCTTTGGGACAGCTGTTACTTTTGATTTATATCAATGATATAGTTGGAGTAACAATAAAGTGTAAAGTTGTTCTATTTGCTGATGACACAATGCTTTATATCATAGCTAAGAACTTACAGCAAATGCAGAAAGATTTAAAAGATGATTTAGAACCAATTTTGAATTGAATGTGTGTTAAAAAACTATGTTTGAATGTCGATAAATCGAAATTTAGCGTATTTAGTAAGAAATCAAAACTTAGAGAAGCGGAAATTGAAAATGTACACATTGCTGTGAATTGGGAAAATATTGGTTATAATGGGGAAATTAAATACTTAGGCATTATATTGGATTGTAATTTAAACTTTCAAGCTCATGCTGATTATGTAATGCGAAATTTTTCAAAAAAAAAGTCGGTTTTATAACGCGAATAGGTGAACATTTAACCATGCATACAAAATTACAACTTTATAATGTTATTGCTCTCTCACATTTACAGTTTTGTTCCACTCTACTGTTTAATCTGACGCAGTATAAAGTAAATCAAATGGAGAAAATACAATACAGAGCTATGAGACAGACTTTGAAGTGTTACAGGTATACGCCAATTGAATGTATGTTGTCTGTGAAACAAAGGGTTATGCTTAATGTGTATCTGTTTATTTTCAAAGTTAAACATAATTTGTTACCTAACTATTTTTGTGATTGATTGAAGGACTTTAGCGACATACATGGTTATCATACGAGAAATCATACAGATTTTATTTTGTTAGAACGAAGCAATTCGACCCAAATGGGGATTATCTGACAAGTTACCTGGGATAATAAAAAACTGTGATAACCTAAAGCGGTTCAAACGGCTTCTAATAAAATTTGTTTTAGATAAGTGTTAGTAATTAGTTGTATTCTGTTTATTTTAATTTTGCACATTTTAGCCCGGTTTTAGCTACTTTATTTGTACACTTTCATTTATACCTGTTTTGGTTTGTTTTTTTTTACATTTTTTTACGTTAAGTTTTATCTCTGTCTAGTTTTTATCTAAAATTATCAGTACCTCTTGTATTTTTATTTGTACTCGTATTACTATTTTCAAATTACAGTTTGTAGGTTTATTTTCGTTTCTTTTTGTTTTTTGAAGTATTACACTTTTTATTCAGTTTTTGCATATAAAAGCACAATGATTTCTTTTTCTATTTCTATTATTGTAACAAGGCAAACGTGTACTTATATGTAGGTCTTGTGCTAAATAAAATTTATTATTATTATTATTATTCTGTCACTCAGTATAATTGGCAAGAGTCTGAGTATGTACAACATATTATCAGATTTGTGATACGTAGACAGACGCCGTCTCAGTGTGTACTGCGTTCCATGTCAAATCGAGAAACTAACCATATGACTTTTTTTTTAATTCTTACAATAAATCATCTTTGTTGTTTGTTACAGAATAGAGATCATCCGAAATTTTTGTTATTATTTTTATTTTAAAGTATTAGTTGTCCACCTTAAATAAAAAAAGTAGGGAAAACTATTTAAAGAGGATGCTGTTTTAAGTAAGCAAACTCAATATTTCCGAGAAAAATTAATGTACTTCAGTTAAGTAGTTTTGAAGATTTATTAATTTAAATCTTGAATAAAAGTAATACGTCGTCATTAGTGGAGATCTATACATTTGGCAGCAAAGTAATTTAAAAATGAAGAATGAACTGACTCGTTAGGCAAGTAAATGTTGAAAATGGCCATCATGACCCTCCATGCAATAATAAAGATTTTGATGAAAACGTTGCTTCACATTTTGCAATATTTGCGTAGTAATTTGAAGGCACTCATTCACAATTCTTTGTCGCAGGTCTTCTAATGATGTTGGCTGAGTAGCATAGAGTTTGCTTTTTAAATGACCCCACATAAAGAAATCCAAAGGTGACAAATCTGGCGATCTTGGGTACCATTCAATGGCACCCCTTCTACCAATCCATCGATCTGCAAATGTCTGATCTAAATATTGTCGAACACGTAATGCGTAATGTGGTTGAACACCATCCTGTTGGAGCATCAACCTATTCGCAATGTACCGCCGATCATTCTGATTTTCAATTATGGCTGTTAATGCAGGATCTATGGCGTCTTCCAGTAATTCCAAATACATTTCACCGGTCAAATTTCCAGGTAAGAAAAAAGGACCAACTAAATGATCGCCAAAAATACCAGCCCAAACATTTAATTTTTGTGGCTGCTGTGTATGAACCTCATGATAAATTCTGGGATTAGAATCGGACCAATATCGGCAGTTATGGCGATTTACTACGCCATTTAAGAAAAAGGAACACTCGTCGGAAAAGCAAGTGTCGAGTAGAAAATATTCATCTTTTATAATTCGTTCACACATATCTTCACAAAATTGTAATCGCCGATCAAAATCGTCTTCATTAAGTTCTTGTACCAGGTGAATTTTATGCGGATGAAAACTATGGGCTTTTAGAATCCGTTGGACAGTACGTCGACTAACACCACACCCAGTCTCCAATTTGCGGGTACTTAACGTAGGATCTACATAAACTTGCCCTAAAACCCCCACTTCTATTGCTTCGTTCCTTATGGGATTATCAATGTTGCGTTTTTTATTGGCGACTGACCCAGTTTGCAGAAATTTAGCTACAAGTTCTAGAACATATTTTCGATGCACGTTACTGTTCTCATGTCGCTCATTAAATATTTCTGCTGTTCTATTAGCGCACTGATTATTTCCGAAAAATATTTCGATAATTTCAACTCTTTCTGCTGTGGAATAATATACCATGGTTAATTTATGTAATACAGCGTTACAAGTTATTTCAATAACAAAGTTTGGTCAAATCAATCGCAAACTATGTACTAAATTCCTATTTAAAATAAGTACGAGATATTTCCTTATCTTTCTCCAAGAAATAACCTTTTTGCCACAAAAAACGCGCCAATAGCCATTTTCAACAACCAAATGATAAACAAACCATGGGCGTAGTGACGAAAAGCATTTACTTATTAAGTAAATTCTTTTAGTCAAATTTCTTCTGAAAGTAGTACAAACTAATCTGGTGTACCTATTAAAGTCTACTTTCAGCTTTAAATCAATAAATCTTCAAAACTACGAAACTGAAGCTCATGTATTTTACATCAATATAAAGGGAATTAAAAGACCTTAAAAATAAGGTATCACTCGACCCCCCTTTCCATTCAAGATTTTAGGGTTGGTGTCACCCCCGCCCAGGGGGCTGCACGTGTTGCGTCATTTTTTGCCAAACTTGTGTCCCCCTCGAAAGCAAAATCGACGGGTCTGAGCGTTTTTCCAAAAAAAAAGCTGAGCTGCCAGTAAATGCGTCTGTTTCGTTTTCGATGCGCCATCCTGTATATCAATGCGTAATAAGTACGAGTACTGAATCAACCCACGCGACGAAATGAACCACCGTATACTGGACCCATTTATCAAAACTACAAAGCTTTTTCGTATTTGGCATAGTAATAATCCTATGTTAAAATTTCATCAAATTCCGACCGGTACGTCCCAAGTGATAGAGAGGTCAAGGATTAGCGGACAAAAAGAAAGGTAGAGGCAGATCTCCAGACATACCGACGGAAATTAATCACATGGTGTTTTCGTGGAGTACATGTCATATAACATCCAAAAATATAATATCTCATGTTCGAAATTCTTTGCTATTTCAATACTTCTTCGCCCAGTGGGTGTAGGATGATGGTACATAAGCATTGTCACTTTTTGTCCTCTACAAGATAGCATAATAATTGGAATTTCAATATGACGTTCCTCCTCTTGTGCCAAATCAGCTTTATTTTTTCTTAAAGATGCCATATTGCCTTAGTAATTAAAAAGACGGAATTTTCTGAACAGGCCTTGGATATAGTGTTTGTTTCACGATTTCATCAGCAAAGCGTTCCTTGTGTTTTATGGACCAGGTGTAGGTGAAAACCCCCTAATGATGTGAAATTGTACATATTATCATGACATGGATTAGAATCATAAAACTTCAAATATTTAAAAAAGTAATCAGCCTATAGTTGGTCTTAGCTCCTGGAATAGTGATTAACCTATAGTTAAAACTTTGTTAAACAAAACAAAACACTGAAAACAATGGTAAAAACACGTTGGAGCAGGTAAGAGCCTCGACCTTGTTCCATCTTCCTAAACGCATTTCATATCCTTTATATTACCTAAAGCGATGAACATATCTGGCATTCGAATACTATTAATCTACTCCTTATGCGTCATGTAGAGCGCCTCTTCCGTGCTAAAATAACGCTTGATATAGTTAATAGTGGGCAAGATATTTCAATGCTTTTTGAGTACGCTTCTCGGAAATTGGAACATTTACAAAATATAAATGCTAGATAAACTAACATGTTAATAACTTTGGTTTGATATTTCAATGTATGCCATGTTATACATTTTTGGAATCAGAATTAAAAATTATTCTACTGCGAAAAAATTCAATATAATAATCATAATAATTAACGTCTTTTATTTGTAATATTCTTACAGGAGGCGAGATTTAGATTATATATCTATTCTACCATCTAACCCCCATATGGCGTGTATATGAAAAAATTAAGTCGATATTCGAGAACAAGAGACGAAACATCATATTGAAATTCTAAATATGCCATCTGGCATAGGGAAAAACTTCGCAATGCTGATGTATTTTTTTTATTTTAAGATCCCATCTCGAATAAAGCCAGGAAAAAATATAAACGATTTCGAGAGAATTCAGTTTCTCTCGTTTATGTCCGGCAATATTGTGAATTTAGGAACTTTGCCCTCCTCAACTGACTTCGTATTTCTTATCGTTTCCGATATCCCAATGGTGAGACTCACATTTGAAATACTCGGACTCGGTATAGTCATAAATATTGCTCATTTAGAGGCTTTATTACCCCCTCATTTCTTATCCTGGTTGATGGTATTTGTGATCTCTTCATAAAGCCCATCTTTGGTAGTATGGTGTATATTTATGCATTAACAGCAACACTGCGAACCCTATCCATTACCCCAGGAGTATTTAGCCTTTCATCCAAATGAGCCAGATTTAACCGGTGCTATTGAAGAAAACCCGAGGCGGCTTTCATTTTCCAGTATTCTAAGGCGTGCCCATTATAGCCCCTGATGACTTGCTTAATTATTTAAGCTGTCATCTTTCAGAGAGAAAGTCCGGTAAGCTTACAGCAGAAGCGGGATGCCTAACCTGATATTGAATTATGTCTTTCTGAATAATTCATTATGTCATGAATAGGGGAATTATGCTCTACTTTACCTTACGGTCAACGTACCGAGGAAAGGGCGGTAGATCTCTCAATCAGTATTTATGATCTTGCGTACTATAAACACCTCTTTGATAGATGTATCCTGTCCGTATTCCAGTTTCAGAGAAGGACGCAAAATATATGTCTTCTTTAGCCGTCTGCTTAGAGATATTAGAAGGTTTAACATACACCTATATCTTCCTCACTCTGTACAGTTAATCCGGGCAGCCTGATATACCATTCATATGCTTGATATGGTGCTGATCTAACTACACAGTCCATATTTGACGTGGTTTATAGCAGCACCACCCAATTGACAGGTTCATCTCACTCATGTTCCATAATAATACGCCAATTTGTAGATTTTCCTAAAATGTGTTCTGAAACGGTATTAGTACTTTTTATTACCCAGAAACTGCATGAAAAGTTCTGCAACATTATTTAAGCAAAAGGTTATATTTATTATGAAGTTAGGGCTAAAAACATAAATTATCAACATGTGATTGTTTAGCTGGATTAGGCAAAGCGCTAAAGCTATAATATACAGTGCATTTCTTTAATGTCCCCCTTCCCTTTGACTTTTTGAACGGATCAATTCAAAATGTTAAAACTTGAGGTAATGAAATTGATGCATGGATACCATATTTAAGAGTAAAATTGACAGACGAAAATGTCAAGATAGCCGCTGTGCTAGAAAAAAAAATATGAAATCAACATAAAGTCAATACCTTTACATTTTACAAAATGACATTTAATAATTACCTGAATATATTGACATTTAACTTGATAATTCGAATAAATACGTTGAGTTCAATTTAGAAGATGCTGAAAATGGTTGCCTTGAACTTCTTGACACAATAACAGCCGGCCCGTAATTTCGATTGGAACATTTTCAAACATAGTAACATCATTATTTCTACAAATATTTGTTATTCGTATATCCAATATTGAAGCAGGTTCAGTTTCGTACACCTTTTGCTTCAAATAGCCCCATAGAAAAAGTCTAAAGGTGTCAAATCTGGCGAGCGAGCTGGCCATTCCAGAGGACCTCGACGGCCAATCCAACGACAGGGGAAATTGTTATCTAAATAATTCCTAACTTGTCTGTAGTAGTGTGTTGACAAGTCGCAAGTTCAAATAATTGGTGAGATCATAGTAAATCCAGAACATTCTACTTCCTCCATCGCGAATGTATGTGAGGTTCTACTGTATGGAGACTTTTGAAAAAGAATAAGATTCACCCAAACAAAATTCAAATGGTACATCAGCTAACTGAAGATGACCCTGATCAAAGAACACGAGACTGACTGACGGAAACCATTGCACGGCACGGGGAGCGACACATTAAAGAAAAGCACTGTATGTGTGCTATATGGATTATTTAAATACATACCTTTTTCTGATGGAATGCACTGGAACTCTATTATACTCCTTTAGAATTGAAGAATATGGAAGTTGATGACAAGCAAAAGCTACGCTGTTTTTTTGAAATCATGAGCTGAAACTTTACATGTAGAGATGAGGTACTTTGAAGCGGTAAACAGATGATAGTGCGCAATAGAGAGAGCGCTTGTCGCTTGGACTCCAAGGCTAATAAGCTTTTACAATGGAGAGCTCACTATATCCTCAAATATACATAATTAGATATTTGTCCTATGTCAGTCTAGATATATCATCAATTACTGTGAAAACCTGTGAGAAAACGGTATTTCTACTCTTACTAGACTTACGTCCCGCATCGGCAAATTTAGGGAGCTGAAAATAACTTCTGACAACTTATCTTGAAATTCAATTGGACACCTTTCTTATGAATAACCAATATCTTAGGTTGGGTGGTTACTGAAATGCAGTTGCCTCCCTTTCTAATGGCACATCCGCTTCATTCAGAACCATCTGGTATTAGTATTTTTTTCCAATCTGCCAGACGAGGTTTCACCCAGTTCTACTAGCCTCAAGCAGTTAAAAACTCGAACTGGTCTTCGTAATCTTTCTTCAGGTATTTAGACTCCGTGCTTTGGAGATACAGTAACTTATTATATAGGATTCTCTGCTATAGATTCCTCCCTTTAACTTTTTATATGTGACAGTTCTAAAAAAGTTTTATACAAAGCTAGTGTCGTTAGAGGTTAAAAACTGTCGAACAAACAAACACCGATGATAGACAAACGGTTACATGGCGCATAGCCGCACATGCGACACAATGAGCCGTATTCATAAAACAAAAGATATCCTTGTACAGATGGTATTTATAATAATTTGAAGTAAATGCTCTTTATCTTGAGTATAAGCATATCCTTCAAAACAGTGACATAAGTGAAAGGATATTCGTTATCTTCACTTTATACTTGGCATAGGAAGCATTATCCTTCAAAAATGATGAGTGTGGTCAGTAGCAGACTCAACTTCGTGACGAAAGGTGGTCAAACGATGATGGTGGAAATTGTGGATGTTAGGGATGTTAAAACGTACAAACCTCGTTTGCCTTCACGTGGTCGTGACTTGAAAAATTATATCAGTTCGACGAAGCAAATGTACAATGGCTTGCGGACAGGTTTTCAGTTGATAATGAGGAAACTAGAGGAGGAGCACTTTTATGTATTCATAAAATGAAAATATGTCTACACTATCTCGGTGACCCTGAATATCAACAAGGTATTGGTCAGGAACTTGATGTTAGTCAAGCAACGGTATCTCGAACTGTGGATAGAATTGCGAACAGCATAGTTGCGCAGTCGAACGAATGGATCAAGTTTCCAGCTACCAACCATGAACTGATGGATGCCAAGCGGATACGGCAAAGCATGTATAAATTTCCGACAGCAATTGGTGTAATTGATTGTACACATACGAGGGATGTCTTTTAAGTTTTGCATATAGAAACATAGTAGGCCGCGCGAATCGAACGTCAGTACTGAATCTTAACCTCACTCTTTAGTAAACTTAAATTCGAAGTTTCACAACCATACGTGCAGTGTTCTCACTACAGTGAATTTTAAGTGTTACCAAGTCATTAGAAAATGGAACTCGGCCGAGAACATTTTCGCGCCATAATTTATTACAACTTTCAGAGACAATTATCGCAACAAGAATGCCTTGCTGAGTTACTGTCTGCTTTCGGCAACGAAGCTCCACATCAGTCCACAATTTCCCGTTGGTATGGAGAATTCAAACGTGGACGGGTGAGTCTTAGCGACGAACCCAGGGTGGGTGCACCAAAAACGGCAGTCACCCAGGAATACGTCGATGCTGTGCGCAAACTCATCATTGAAGATAGACATGTCACATATCGCGAGATTGAGGCGTCCTTGAAGATCTCAAAGACCTGAATTAAAAAAAAAATACATGAAGAATTAGGAGTAAGAAAATTAGTTTCTCGTTGGATACCCCTCCTGTTGAGTGAAGAGCAGAAAGCAGCCAGGGTTAATTGGTGTCAAAAAACGCTTGACCGTTTCAATTCCGGAAACTGAAAAAATGTGTACAGCATTTTTGCTGGTGTTGTGTCGTGGATTTACTGTTATGAACCAGAAAATAAACGACAGTCGGCTGTTTGGGTGTTCCAAGGTATTGCAACAATTCCCCTTAATGAGCAAAGACCTGTTACTGCGGATTGATATACCACCATTTGTTTGCCAAAAGTCATCACCGAGCTTCAAAAAATCCACCCCGAAAGAAGAATCATCCTCCACCAAGACAATGCAAGCTCGCACACAGCCCAAAAAACAAGGCAGTATTTAACGGAAGAAAACGTGGAATTATTGGACCATCCTCCATATAGTCCCGATCTAAATCCTAACGATTCCTTTACTTTCCCGAAAATTAAAAACAGACTGCGTGGTCAAAGGTTCCAGTCACCAGAAGAAGCAGTTGACGAATTCAAAGATGCCGTTTTGGATCTGCCAGCAAACGAGTGGGATAAGTGCTTCGAAAATTGGTTCCAGTGCATGCAGATGTGGATCTTCGTGGAGAATACTTCGAAAAATAATAAAGTCATTTAAACCTACCTACCGTGTTGTTTTATTTCCATATGCAAAATTTAAAAGACATCCCTCGTATAGGAATCCTGAAACCAAATCGCCATAGAGATGAGTATATCAACCGAAAAGGGAAACCTACTTTAAATGTGCAAGCCACTTGTGATGCCAGAGAGATGTTCACAAGTGTTGATGTCAGTTGGCCTGGATCAGCGAATGATTCCAGAATATGGAGTAATTCACAGACTAGATCACAACTAATAAATAAAGCAAATGTACTACTTGGCGATGACGGTTATGGTATTGAGCCATGCCTTAAGACTCCTTTCAGAAATCCTACTCCAGGTGCAGAATAAATTATAATAAGCTTTTAAAACAAGAAAGAGTTATAATTGAACACTGTTTAGGACAACTGAAATCCTACAGTATGTTTGCCGCGTAAAGTTGGAAAATGTGCCGAAAATAATTACTGCTTGTATTGTACTCCATAATGTTGCGAACAGCTTGGACGATCCTGACTTTGAGAACAAGACCCAGATGAAGGAGAAGGAAATTGTGAGAATGACGAACTTCCTCTCCGCCAACTAGGTCAACAAATAAGAAAAAACTTGAGTATTATAATAAATAGTTTTACTGATTAAAGTGTATTTATAAGTTATAATAAGTTTTATTGTCGTGAACATCATAAGTTACAGGTGGCTTCTGACGCTGCATCATTTCTAATTTCGTTTTATAATACTCTTGTTGTAAAATACTTGTTTGGTACTGCTGTACTAGCACTAGACGTTGCAGTTCTTTTGTAGTTAACCCTTTGGTTTCGCCAGTTTCGTATTTCTCTGTTGTTAGTTTTCTTTTTGGTGGCAATGTCTTCTGAATTGCTGGCGCTGTAATACTAGCTGTTTGCTCACTGCGCTCGGTATATAGTTCACTTCCTTCTTTTTGAACACTACAAACCTGAATGGCACCTCCAGTTTCCCCAACTGTAGGATTACAGTCACCTTCCATAGTTTTCAGCAACTTTCTGTCCCAATCTAACAATTTAATTGCTTTATTACCAGTTTTTTTTAGATCTGTTTTTTTCTTCAATCTTGAGTTCATGTTGTTGATTTTTTTTAATAAGCCTTTAGTATCTAATGGTTTACCGAATGTTGATTCGTATTTTTTCAACATCTTCTTCAAGGCATCGTCCTTTCTCATTTTTATTTTTGGAACTTGTGACTTTTGCAAAATAATGTGAGCAATGGCAATTTCCTCTGCGATGAACTGCAGGTCATTGCCATTATTTTCTATAGTTTCCTCATCACCTGAGGGTGACATGCTTATTAATTTCATCAAAAACTGTATCCAGTAAAAATACGGAACATTCTGTGTGAGCTCTGGAGTACAACTGTCAGTGATGTCGAGTGAACGAACTCCCACGTCAACTACAAGCTGGAACAATTTAGGACATGTCGCTCCAGATACAAATACCAGTAAACCTTTTACTTCTTCTTGGAGGATATCCTAGAGTATAAGGTAATCATTATGAATATGAAAACAAGGATATGCTTATACGTCTCCGAAGCAAGACCTCATATTTTTACCTTATGCTTCAGAGCATATGCTTCTCTTTTATGAATACGGCTCAACATAAACGGGCACAGATCTACCTGCATATGTAAACGGTGGCGGTGTAAGCATGGTTCGTGTTGCATTATCCGCTCGATATCCCTGTAGACCATGCATGATTATGACAGATTTCGAGACAGGTAAGCTGTTCATGACAACACTAACGCCACTTGCTTTTAGCCTTCCAGATGACCCCCCGAGGTCTACGCGTAAATATGCATTACTCATCTGTATACTCAAATCATTTTTAGGTTAATAATGACTGGATATATTACTTCAGCAGCTGAAAGGAACTACTGAGTTTCGAATAGGCCCTCGTTAAACCAAGGACCGTGGTTAAAGTACAAATCTGACATCACATCCATGAAAGGCGAAGAAATAAGGTATAATGAACTGTACTGACGCAATAAAAGGGAGTGAATGAGTATCTATATAAGTGACGTAATTTCGAAAACACCCCTGATTTCTTTAGTATCTATATATATTTATTCGCCCACGGATTCATTAAGTATAATTTTCGTCAATTTTGTATTTAATAGGAAAAACTTTAGTTTATGGTTTCGCTCCCTGGCTCGTTGACTTTGTGCGTGATTATAAAGACAAATACGCAGCACTTTAGGACACACTTCAAAATGGTATTCTTGATCTTGACTGGGCCTTATCCCGACTTGAAAACCTTGTTGTATGCTGACACGTGGACAACAAATGAGAGTGCGGAGTATCCTGTGTGACTTTTCATACGTATTTTGAAGTTTCGCATCTTATAACTGAAGAACCATCCAGGTGTCGGAAAAACGTAAAGGACCTTTTCCCTACAATCGTAATTCTCTACAAAAGAGGCTAGCAGTCTTTATACGCTTAGATTGTTAGTTTAGTCATTATAAATGAAAATATCATTTCTAGTAACCGGTTCACTACATCTAAAATTTTTATAGAAACAAAAGGGTAAAGAGTTGAATATCCTGCGAAATTGTGTTATCGATTTTTTACATACGATCGATGGTTTTCGATATTTATAATAAAAGTGGTGGCATATTATTAGGAAATAAATTACCTTGCCATATAACTGGTCGTACATTACCTATCCCGATCGAGTATGTGCGAGAACAATAGTGTCTTTCTGCACCGAGTTACATAAGTAACTCTTTCTTTCTACTAACTGTATACTACCACATTTAATTCGATTAACTATCCTAGGACATGTAGCATATCTGATAGCTTACTTAACATTCTGTGGCATTGTCATATAAAGCCGACGGGATGCCTGCATCACCTCGTGTAGGAGGAGATCGCTATCGCTACGTGATAGAGTGCGTCGACACAGTCTTCGAGTACTCCAATTCATATAGCAGCAGAATACGTTCAATCTGACAAAATAATGTGATAAATAATTACAAGTGACGACAAATTATACATATGTAATAATCAGGAATGTAAATAACGTTTGATAGCAATGAAAATTTTATGCCCAACATAATGAGCATATTCATGATTGTAGACCTAGACATTTATCATAATTATTATTTAGCTAGGTTGAGGAATATAACTTTTCATAGGGAGGCGATAAATAATGAAGATTTCTTAGGTTCGTAGTGGAACTTTTTTATGTACCTTGGAAGTGATTAGCGTTTATGTTGCCTTGGCCGCGAGCCAGTAATGTCCAATTTATTCTTGGGTGTGCTAATAAATAACCTGTAGTCAATGATTCATCGGAGTTTCTCTAGCATGTTTGACCCATCCTCATCCAGCTATAGCCTGGAATTTTATACAACTCAGTCACGCCCGTTGCAGCAGTTCGATTTCAAGGCACGACCAGAACTAATAACAACTTTCCTCAGATCTGTTGATTACGCTAGCCTTAAGCTGTCTAATCTCTTGATGATGCAACTCCTTAAATATTATCTCTATTTAGTTTTATTGGCTTCTCGCGCGGAGGCTATATCGATCAGAAGTGGGATAACCGACGGAATTATTAGCGTTTGCATGAGAATTTCCAAGAAAGTCCAGTTTGCGTTGTCGTCATAGACAATATGCGTAATGAAATCGCAGTCATAACGTACGAAATATCGCGGAAAGTTTTGCGATACGCTATGCAAGACCACAAGTACTACAAGCAAAATATGGTAAACATTTAAGGGATGTCATTCATACCTAATTTACTATTTATAGCATATCTTTAAAATAAATTTGTTACAATATTTACTAAAATTCGGAAGTAGCAAAAGAATGTAATCATAATTTCAATTTAGCGGCAGCTTGTGCTTTGCCAAAGCATATCGCTTATCTAATTTAAAGGTGCAGTATTTGCATAAGAATTTGCCCGCCTCTGAGCTCATCGGTAATGGCATGTTATGTTTATTGTACCCCAACGCGCCCAAATTATCTGTTTTTCTAAGAAGCTGCTCTTGTCTCTTATATATTATGCTTAGGCACAAAAAGGTATCCTAAATGGTTGACCCACATTCGAAACCACAGTATCCTCAGTTGATGTTATCATGCAGTTTTATTTCGTCAAAGGTGACCTTTTAGACCACTGAGTCCTGGTAGAAGACCTCGGAAGGAACACAGTTGCATGATGCTCACTGACCAGTCTTGGCATCCCTTAGACAGGTATACAGGTATACACATACGGGGCAGATAATCTTTCTTGCAAATTTCCTTGGTGGGTTGTTTGTTTAGATCCAAAGTTCTCAGGAAGTATTTTTTACTGCATGAACCTCCTTACCCTGCACAAACCCTGGATAAGGTGATGAGCTGCTGCTCTAATTACACTGTTCATATTATATTGATACGCATAATATTACCGAGACTGCAAAGACATCGACCAGTCAGCCAAAGAGAAAGTCGGGCGTACCCTCATCAGCATGTGCACCAGAATTGTGTCTACTCGCTTATTCCATTTAATATATATTTATACAGAAAAAAACGTTTAAGGAATTTAGGTCAACATTGGAAGAAAGCACATAAGGTGAAAAAAATAATGGAGGTTTAATTAATGACATAAGATAAACTACCGGCATCGTGCTACTCAAGATTAGTATGGAGGAGCAGATTTTTCCCTAATAAATAAAGTACAAAGAACAAGTACCACACCTAAACATCTCAAAAAGTGAGTGGATGCTAATAATAAGCAAAAGTCAACAACCAGGATGACAGATAATACGGGATATATTTGAGTCGTAACGAGTCGTAACCTACTTAGGAACAACACTTAATTCAAGATAAGACCAAACCAAGGGTCATTCTTGAGCACGAAACACATTTTTACCTCTAACAGCTTCAGCCTCTAAGAATCAGACTTCTGAAATGTTACGTAATGTCTCGTTCTGGTATAAGAAATGGAATCACGGACAATGAC